TTTGTTTTTTTAAATGTTAGCAAGGCATTTACATTGTGATACTAAACAATCATCAAAACCTCCCAAATGCTAAATAGCTTTCCTGCATCAATGCTCTTGTCTATATAGTACCTTAGCACATGCTTTATATTTACCTAAAAATATTGCTTTTAATCATTAAATGGCTGACAAAGTTGAAGTTATGAAAAATGGTCATGAAAGCAGCAAATACCTGAGGTACTCACAGCTGTGGAGTAGGGATTATGAGCTCCAGTATTTTCAGCCCAGCAGCCACATCCATAAAGAGCAGCCTGGGGATAAAAAGGAAATAGACAGATATAATATTTCAGAAATATTACATGTAATTATCAGCTTTCAATAGAAACCATACCCATCTAATAAAACCTGGCTTAATGACACAAAACAACTGAGTGATAATACCAGAAGTTGTATAAGACCTACCCAAACGATGGTTTTAATACTATTAAAACTGTATTTTCCACTATTCTACTAATCTAAAAATTTTCAGAAAATAGCAAAAGAAAATTTTTTAGTCTCATCAGCAGTAATTTTTCCTTCCCTAAGAAACCTTCTCCCTTTGTAGCTTGTCAGCTAGTTGTTCTTCTAGCGTCTTAAAACCAATGTAGTTGCCTTAAAATAGTAGTTCCCAAACTACTGTGTGTTGACTAATGTGGGGAAGCTTGCCGATAAGAACCTTGGTTCCTACAGATTCTGATTCAGTGTCTGGTGGAGATCCAAGAATCAGCACTTATTAACTAGGGCCTTGGTGTACTGGGATGCAGCTGATCCTCCTGGCACGCTCAAGGAGGCACCCTGCTTCTAGAGGGCATCTTCCATTCCTCCCTTGAGGTGGCACGATAGGAACTGCGAACAGCTCTGTACCAAAGGGCCCAATATATGCTCACCGCTGTGCTATATGCAGGCAGATGAAAAGAAAGGAGGCAAAAGGCCGGTTCAAGCTAATCACCTGGTTAGGTGGTAAACCAGATATATATTTCTAAAACCACCAGGAGCATAATAAGCTACCACAGTTTTATAAAAGATTATGACAATCATTCCTATTTCATTTACAATAATGTTACTCAAGATGTCTTGATTCATCTCCCCAATATCCATGATGACTTTTCTGACTTTGGGAGGGGAAATCACAACTATTAACTTTTCTACTCCTCAGTTGGAAGCAAGGTAAAAACAAACAAACAAAAACTCTTAGCTAGCTACTATAGAGAAATATGAGGAGGTATGCTCAAGAGTTCATTACCACGTGGTTGATAAGAACGGGAAAGTGGAAGCAACCTAAATGCCAATCAGTAGAGAAATGGCTAAATAAACTTTGGCATAGCAATACATGGAAATCATTGCAAAGTTTAAAAATAAAAGACTTAAGTTTAAAAAAAAAAAAAGCCTTAGGAAGAAATACAGAAAAGATCTCCAAAATGTATTGTTTTTTTTAAAAAAGCAATTTACAACAATACATTCAATATTCACTATCACTGATGGAAGAAAAAGATACTCCCATAAAATAGCACTGTTATTTTCTAGAAGCTCACTTCTGGGCACTGGAGAGTAGGCAAAGACTGGGAATGGTGACTGGACTTCAGCTTTCTATGATATTCTATTATTTCTTATAAGGACTTTAAAAATCATTTGCTTTAATATTCTACCCAGAACAGGAATCTCCATGAAACATACCAAGCACTCTGATACTAAGAACCTCACTATCTCATATGGGAATACTTCCCATTTTGGACACTTCCTATTCATAGAAAGTTCTCCTTAGATTGAACAAATATCTTCTTTATCATAACTTCCACCCACTAGTCCTGGCATTGCTCTCTACGAGTACTTTAAGCTCCCCATACAGTCCTCCAGATTTTTTAAAACAGCTGTTCTAGTCCTCTTTTATCACTCAAAGAATCCCAGATTTGTGAACTGCTCCCCAAGACTTTCAGATGCACACACCCGCATCCATCCCCTAATCACCCTCTTTGAGAAGTAAGCCAGAGTCCAGGATAATGAGAGATAAAGTCTCCCATGTTCATGTAACCAACAGTTGCCATCTCCAGTTGTCAGTGACAATAACCCTCTTAAAAGTAAAACCAAGAACTGAAGAGGACACTCCCAAAATAGCAAAAATTGGGAAATCTGTTACTGCTTTTGAAAATACCATGCTGGTAAAACAAATGCCTTAGTTTCCTAACACTGTTGGATCAGTATGGCCATTGACCCCCTTCAGCTGTGATTTGGCACATAGATTTCAGAATAAAACTGGCAGACTTCTGGGATAACTCAGTGGAATGGCCCATTCTTTCTTCATTTAAAACTCTGGACATTTGCCCATCATCCTTTCCATTTCCCCACAATTACCTTGACCAGGAGCCTGCACTCAAGAAATAATAAATAAGGCCCGAGGGACACCTCTTAGAAAGCCAGTGGATGTCATCTTTCTGGAAAAGTAAGAATGTTTATGTTTACCCTTTGTTTCTTCCCTCCAAGCAAATTCCCTTTACATTACCCTTCCTTTAATTTCATGACCTGAAGTCGTTTTCCTTTTTACCCTTCTGAAATTGGTTCGGCTGAGACAGTAATAGGTAAAATAGGTAAAATAAAGCATGGTTGTGCACACCCATAGTCTCAGCTACTCAGGAGGCTAAGGCAGGAGGATAACCTGAGCTCAGAAGTTTGAGGCTGTAGTGTGCCATGATCGGACCTATGAATAGCCACTGCACTCCATCCTGGGAGACATAGTGATTTACCACCTCTAAGAAAAGAAAGAATCAGAAATTGTCCCTTTTCTATCCACTTTTTTGGGTAAAATACAGCAACCTTAAGCAGGCCTTTAAAAACAAATTTTAAAAAGATTCCTTCTTTTTTGCAGTAAAATTTTATTGAAGATATTATCATGTAGTAAAAGTAGGTCATACAAATGATGATATCATTATTATTATTAATCTTCTCTGGGCCATAGTTTCTTCTATAAAATGATGATAATAAAAATACCCACCTTACAGTGTTGATGTACAATCATGTTAATTAACACACTTCTTGCACACAGCAAGTGCTCAATAAACAGTAGCTATAGCTGTTATTACTAGGGGTTATGATATATAATTTAAATGCATTATATCATTTAATCTTCTAGAACTTCGTATGGTAGCGAGTTATCCCCATTTTATAGATGTGGAAAATAGAGCTTAAAGATGCTGAAAGTAATTTATTCAAAGGAAGGAGATGGGTAAGTGGGGAGATGGGATTAAAATAATGGTTTACCTGAATCCAAAGTCCACACTTTTAACCACTAAACTCAACTCCTGATTTGGATGTGGGTGGGGTGAGGGTTGGGGGGAATAAAATATTATATAATAATTCCTTTCTGACATCTAAGTTATAAATTCTAATTATTATAGTAAGCTAAAGAAGCAAATAAGTTCAAATTCAAATTTCCACTTCACCATCTACACTGCTACACATATCTAAAGGAGTGTAATATGCTAAAATTTTTAAACAGTTGATTTGTTCATTTAAAATACATTTGAAAATATCTAGTTTCAGCACATTTAAAAAAAATAATTATCCTTTGATACAACTTGCTTTTGTATTTTGTTTCATTCAGTCTTGTGTGTCAAAAAGAACTGTTCTTTAACTCCTGTCTGATGCTTTCATAGTTCCAGGCTTATTACATCTTCTCGATCTAAACAATATAACCCAACGAAGCAACTGCATTTTCCTGTGAGCACCAATCCTTTCCCTCATACCCTTTCCTAATTTTTCAGCTCTCTCAAAATAAGTATTCATAAACTAGCCAATTGGGGCAAATCAATACGTAAATTTTACAGATGTATTTTTCCAGGATAGTCCCATGTGCAGTGGCAGAATGGCTTCAAGACTATTAGATGTGGCTGGGTGCAATGGCTCATGCCTGTAATCTCAGCAATTTGGGGGGCCAAGGCATGAGGACTGCTCAAGGGCCAGAGTTTGAGACCAGCCTGGGCAACATATTGAAACCCTATCTCTACAAAAAATTTTAAAAAATTAGCCGGGTGTGGTGGCATGTGCCTATAGTCCTAGATACTAGGGAGGCTGAGACAGGAGGATCGCTTTAGCCCAGAAGTTCAAGGTTGCAGTGAATTATGATAGTGCCACAGTACTCCAGCCTGGGCAACAGAGTGAGACCAGGTCTCTAAAAATAAATAAATAAATAATAAAAAATAAAATTTAAAAAAAGATTGTTAGATGAAGTATCCTGCTATTGTAGTCCAGAACTACCTTTGGTTCTGTTGTTGCTATTTTGCTAACCTAAACAAACAGGAAACAGTGATAAAGTCATGGGAACTATAATGCAATGAAGGCAACTCTGCTGGCTTTTCTCTTTCCTTTTTCACCAGGACATCCCAATATGACATGCCAAGCTTGATTTTCTTATTCCAAACGTGACAAATACACAGGGTTTTATAATATGGAAAAATACCATGACCAGACAAAGGCTTTCATAATAAGTTCAAAGCATTGTACACATGTTGACTAATAATGCCCCATAAATTCCCTTGTAAAATAAGCAGAGTAGCACAAAATTAATTATTTTCCCTTCCCCTTTTCCCTAGTATAGGACCATAAATGTCTTAGCTACATAAAGGGAAGATCAAGAAATATCACTTGGGGCTTTGCAAGATATCCTCCATGAACTGGATCACTGCTCCAAGCATTCACTAACCATCATGACCAAAGTAACTGTGACATCAACTCTTCTTCAAATGTGAGAGACAAAGCACACAAAGCCTACCAAGACATGCTCCATAGGTGAGATAAGATCCAAATACCAAATTTAAATGCACCCCTTGCAACCACTTTAACAAACTCCATGGGAGTGTCCAACTCATTTGTTCACTCAATAAATATTTATTAAGCCCATAAATAATGTGCCAAATTGGTTTATACTCAGAAAGCTTACTAGATCAAATGAATTGTTAAACTTCATTCTCAGTATAAAACTAAAGATCTGAGATGGGGGGTGGGGTGAAGAATACGTGCAAGTGAACTGGGGATATGCAAATTTCGTATATATTAGATCCTCGCTGTTCCTAGATTTCTTGAGTGGTATCATGTGTTGGTGACCTGAAATATTGGTTATTCTGTAAAATCACTGAAATGCTTAATCAGAGGAGGGATATAGAGGGTCAAAATGTTACTGTTCCTTAAGTAGAAGAAATAAAAAATGTAACTTTACAATCATTTTCCCAGTGAAAATGCAAGCAGCAATGTAATCTTGTTTAGAGCTTGTTCCTAAAGAGAATTGACATTTACAAAGGGAGAAAAATGGAAATCAGCACATTTTATTAGATGTCTACTAAATACCTTGGCCAGTGTCTAGCCTGTTGAAAGTAGTGAAACTAGGATTAACGACTATAAAGATCAGAAAGAAACGTTATTACTATGAGATAGGTTTTGTAAGAAAGAATCTTGAAAAGGTATTTGGTTGATTATTTATACCACATAAATGTTAAGGAACAATGATGTTATTTTTGCTAAAGAAAAAAATGTTCCGACTGCTTTAAACATTGTGAGCTAAAAAATTCCATGTTTTACTTTGAAGAGCTAGTTTTAAAACCCCACAATTACTTACCTGCCCAACTCTCCCCGGGTGTTTCAAGGCCAAGCCTCCACTGGAGACAGCAGCAGCAACATTCCCTTCGTGGTCCACAACCACAGCGCCCACCGTGTCCAAAGTGCCTGAGTCATTTTCCTGTAGAGCAAAAGAGGCACGATTATTCACTAGGCATGGTAGGGGACACTCTGATATGACTACATAGCACTTTTCAGTACAATCATGACTGAAAATCTAAACTAATCCTTAAGTGGAACATTGAGCAATCTCCTAAAATTATCAAGTTGCCATTTAGATCCCGTTTAAGTCAAAATGTACTTTCCACTGAAAAAAAGGTTCTCATTGCTTTTCTCTAATAATGGTTTCTTGTTTTTCCTCTAATAATAAAACTATCATGCCTTTTTGATAGAGAAAAAAACAATTTAATATAAATTATAGTACATGGCGATGCCTCCTTATTCTCAAGAATTAAGTTCATGATTGAGAATTTGTAGAGGAAAAGATCAGTGGTATAAGTAAACAAATA